CTACCCCTGCCCTCAATTAGTTCATGGCCTAGTGGAAGGAAAGTACCTAATTAAAGGGATTTATAGAAAACATCAGAATATTTTAATCTAATTGTTATAAACTTTAAAAACTTAAATTGCAAGAAAATGAAAACAAAAATTTTGCATTCAGTTCTCAACTTAGCATTTTTTTTGGCTTCTGTCTCACACTGATATCAATCTTAATATCAAACATAACTCTTAAGTCCTTTTATATGAACTGCCCTTAAGCCAGATCTCTGCTGTCAAAGACTGGCAGAAAAGGAGTCAGATTTATAAGCCCCTAGTTCAGAAAAGCTACTGATGTGATACTGTATCCTTTCCCCGGAAAATTCTCAACCTATTTTAAGCCTGTTTAATCACCAAGAATCATGCCCACCACATCTTACACTCTCCAGATTAGGGGCATCTGAGTGAATCAAATTTTTTAATAATATATTTTAAGTAAACTTTGTATTAAAGTATGCTTAAAGAAAAAAAAATGTAAGGCTTTCAAAAAGCAGACTCACACCAGGAATTACTGCTCAGATAAAAAACTGAATGCCCCTTCTGTTCTTTCCTTATAACTCCACTAAAGGTGACCACTAGCCTGACTCCTAACACCCTAGTTTATTTAGTCTTGCCCATTTTCAGACTTCAAAAAAAAAAAAAAATGGAATCACATAGCACGTACTCTTGTTGTGTCTTCCTTCTTTTTGCTCTGCTTTACATTTGTGAGGCTCATCCATGTTGTGTATAAAGCAATAATTTGTTCATTCTTATTACTGTGGAGTATTCCATTGTATATGCAATTTACTTAGGCTTTTGTCCATTCTACTATTGATGAACCCATGGGTTGTTTCCAACTTGGGGCTATTAGGAATAACACTGCTCTGCATATTCTTTTACATGTCTTTCGGTGCAAATACACCTGTCTTACTGCTTAGTGTTTATCAAAGAATGATAGACACTAAACAGTAAACTAGGTCATAGGGGATGTGTATGTTCATCTTTAGTAAATGATACTGGAAAACAATTTCCAAAAGTTACACTAATTTTCATAACAATCAGCAATGTATGAGAAGTTCAGTTTTCCATATCCTAACAAATACTCAGCATTGACAGGTTTTTAGGTTTGTTTTTTGTTCTTAACCACTCTGTTGAGTATAGAGTGATACCCCATTGTAGTTTTATTTTGCATTTCCCTAATTACTAATGAGGTTAACCACTTTTTCATATGTTTATTGGGAATCTGGAAATCTTTTGGGGAAGTGACTTGCCTGTTTTTCTACTGGGCTTTTTCTCAATGATTTGTAAAAATTATTTCTACATTCTGGGTATGAGTCCTTTATTGGATATAACTATCACAAATACCTTCACCCATTCTGTAGCTTGCCTTTTCACTCTCTTTATGGAATCTTTAGATGAACAGTAGTTCTTACCAATATATTCCTTTATAACTACTGCTTTTTGTGTCCTAGTCAATAAACCTTTGTCATAAAGGTGTTTTACTTTGCTTTCTTCCAGAAGCTTTCTTGTTTCAGATTTCACATTTAGATGTATGATGTATCTTGATTAATTTTTGTGTATGGGGTGAGGTAGATGATCAAAATTCATCTTGTCCATTTGCAATATCCAATTGGCCCAGTATCATTTACTGAAAAGGCTGTCCTTTCTCCAGAGCACCGCAGTGTCACTTCTATCATAAGAGACCTCATACACGTGAGCCTGTTTATGGATTCTGTACTCAGTTCCGTGGTCTATCTAGCACTGTGCCAACACCATGCTGACAAACTACGTACAGTACTATCTATTAGATTAAGTTTTCCAATTTTGTTCTTTTACTTGGATTTTCTAGAATTTCCAAATATATTTTAAAATTGGCTTACTATTTTTAGAAAAAATCTGCTGGGATTTTGATTGGGATTATACTGAATCCACACATTTATTTGTAGCGCAATGACTTACCCTTCATTATTTTAAAACTTTAAATTCTCTCAATGTTTTACTTTGCAAAGAATTTTTATCACAAATGGGTGTTGAAGTTTACCAAGTAGTTTTTCTCTTTTTTTTTTTTTTTTTTTTTTTTTTGCGGTACGCGGGCCTCTCACTGTTGTGGCCTCTCCCGTTGCGGAGCACAGGCTACGGACGCGCAGGCTCAGCCCATGGCTCACGGGCCCGGCTGCTCCGCGGCATGTGGGATCTTCCCGGACCGGGGCACGAACCCGTGTCCCCTGCATCGGCAGGCGGACTCTCAACCACTGCGCCACCAGGGAAACCCAGTTTTTCTCCTTTATTCTGTGACTGTGGTTAAATTATTTATTGATTTTCTAATGTTAGACAAAGTTTACATTCCTGGAATAAATCCAACTTGGTCATGGTTTGGTAGCCTATAAATATAGGTATAGGTCGCTAGATTTGATTTACCAATACCCATTTCAGGGCTTTTGCGTCTTTTCTGTGAGAGTTTGGACTATAGTTTCTTGTAACCTCCTTATCAAGCTTGAGTAACAAGGTTATGCTGGCCTTATAAAAGCAGTCAGGGAGTATTCCTTCTTTTTCATTTTTTAAAATGTTTGTAATATTGCACTAGTGACACCATCTAGGCCTGGAAATTCTGCTATGAAAAGATTTTTAATTACATATTTAATTTCTTTATAGATATGGAACTATAGAGATTTTCTAGTTCTTATGTCTTATGAGGTATTTTATTGCAAAAACTTGTCCATTTCATCTGAATTTTCAAATGTATTACCACAAAATTGTTCATAATAACATCTGAAGATTTTTTAAATGTCTGTAGGATATATAGTGATAACTCCTTTTTTCTTCCCTGACACTGGTAATACCATACACCATTGGAGGGAGGGAAGGGAAGATGGTCATGCATTATATGATACAAATAAATCCACTATCACTGGAATATTCTCCAGCAGAATTAGGCACAGAAGGAGCAAGAGAGGTAGAGCATGTAAACAATCCAGCAATTCTCTCTCAACAGCTTTTATCACCAGAAACAACTGTGCACCTGTGGAAAAAGAGACACGAACTGAAGGAGAAGGGAACAGCCATTAGTAACGCTGTAGGGTGGCCAGCAAGAACGTGGAGGAAGAAAAACCACCACTAGCTGGGTTTGTAACCTAGATACCCAGCCCTCCACCCACAAGATGTCCATAGGCAGAATTCAGGAGGCCATGAACTTAAATTTCTTTTCTCATATGTCTGTATTTTCACGAACCTCTAACTGAAATTCAGGATTTCATTTGATTGTAAGTGCGAAGAGCAAATCACACTAGTAAGAGCATTTCTGGTGACTGTCACCAATAAGTGTCACAAATTCTGTCATACTACAGTGCAGCTGTTGCAAATACTGCAAACATCATTTACATGGGCATCACTACTTTGAAATTCTGAAACTTACCTGATACAGCCCTGAATTTTGTCACTTAATGCACTAATCAAGAAAAAAGAAAATACCATTACAAATGTTGGGGTTTTTATACTATTTTGATCACTGTTTCAATATAATATTTAACTCTATGTATTTTTAAATGCCTTTTAAAAATTGGCTTCCCCAGACTCCAAAGAAGTCCATGGCACAAAAAAAGGAAGAATCAAGGATCTCACCCAAGCCATGGAACTCCCAGGCAACAGTTAAGGAGCACTTCCCTTTGGCCAGGCCCTGGCCTGGAAGAAGACACACAGATGAGTAAGGCTCACCCTGGCTAGTCCCTGACATTACCTTCAGAGTTCCCACCAACATCTAGCCACCCACAAAAATGACTGCTCTCTCTAAAGACTTGGCCTTCACTCTAAGTTAGTCTATATAACTTACTTCCCAAGGAGGGGGCAAAGTAAACAGCAGATAAAGCATAGGCTTTGACCCAGAAAGAGCAGTGCAAAACCCGATCCCAACACTTAACTTTTTGTGGCTCTGGCATCTAAGCATTCCTTTCTTCTGCTGTGAAAAGGGCTAACACTAGGTATCCTTCCCAGTTATTGCAAGGTTTAATAATAATGGATTTAAAGCACCTGACAAGCACATCATCCCCATCACTATTAGCTGAATCTTTCAAGTCAGAACTGACTTCCTATCCAACACTTAATCACAGTGAAGGGCTGCCACTGAGAAAGGAGGGAGACAAATTATAGGAAAGGCGGAACATGAAGAATGAAAGGGAAAAAAAAAATCATACTTATTCTTCAAATTCCAGTATAAAAACCACCCCCTCCTCAGGAAAGCCTTCCCTCTCCTCGTGTTCCCATAGCACTTATCACATGGAAGTAAACGCCTAGCTGTGCGAATGAATGAAGGAGAAATACAAATCAGAAAAGGACAGAAACAGTGAGTCGCACCCCCATATAATGTAAACCACCGAGGATACCAACTGGCTAGCCTGACTGCCCTGATCCAAGAGCCACGAAGCAATGAAGCGGCACATTTCTTACCACCAGTGCTATCCATCCTAGTACCTCTCCCGCCCACTTTGTAGGGTTGAGAGGAGGAGGGCCTTTCCACATCAAGACTGATGCCACCTAAAGGCCACAGGTAGAAGAAAAGAGGGAAACTGAGTCCGGAGAGTAGAAAGCAAGTCCCTAACTTTGGGGGTCACTGGAGCCGCAGCAGTCAGGCAGGCGCACTTCTAAGATCGCCAAGGGGACCGGCGTCCACACTTCCAGCAACAGTGCCAGAAACTGGGGGCGAAGCCAAGGAGGGGGGACGCTGGCAGGGGCGTGAGCGGACTCGGCCGGCCGGGGGGGAACGCAGCCTTGACCCGGGCGGCACGCCCCCCTCACCCCCCCCCCCCCCCCCTACCCACCCCCCCCCCCCCCCCCCCACCGCCTTTGTCTCCGCTCCTCTGCCCCGCCCTCGGGCGCGCACGCAGGAACGGGAATTGGAAACAGAAAGCGTATCGGGCGTTTCTTTTCCTCAACCAAGTCAGTCGAAGCAGAAAGTCAACACCTAACTTCCCGAGGACCCGCTACGATCACCAGCTACCAACCTCCGGGCTGTCCCGGGTGGCGGCGGCGTTGGTGACGCTCACGCGCGCCCCGAGTTCCCAACAACCCTCTCCGCACCTCCGAGTCGGCGGCGGCGGCGGCGGCGACGGGCTTCCCGGGAAGCCGCCCTCTTCCCCGGGAGCGGCGGTTGGAGGACCAGCCCCGCGCGCGTCCTCGGAGCACGTCCCCGCCGCCGCCGTGCCCGCGCGCGCCGCTCCAGGCCGCTGGGCTCACAAGCAGGCGGCGCCCCGGGAGCGGTGGCGAGCAGGCCGCGCGGCTGGAGGGGTCCCGCAGGAGGACTGCCCGCCACTCCACACCCGGAGTGCCTGGGGCCCGCTTATCTTGCAGTTTCTTCACTTCCATGAACCTATAAGGATCGAATATTTGTCCTAGGTTGACTTCCAAGTCAGTTTTTGGTGGTGTTTTGTTTATACAGGGTAGATTTCCGAGCACACACCTTTTTTTTCAGATTAGGAATCTTCCTTGCAAGTAGACTGGCCATTTGAGACACAGCCATGTGTCCAAGGAGAAGCCACACCAGCTGCTGCTTCCCCCACTTCATACAGAAGCTCCATTCAAAGTTGACTGGTTTCTTCTTTAAGCCTCCAAATACAGTGTCAGCCTCAAGTCAAATTCATGGTCCAGTTCCTTTTCATGTTCTCTGGAGACTTTGTAAATTTCATAGAAAGACTAGAAATAGAAGCCTAGTGAAGCATGCAGGTAAAGAGACAATTACCATAGGGCAGCATTGCTCCTTATGACAAAGGGTCCCGATACCCACTCAGAGTTTCAGTGGGCTCTGAGTTCCTGCACTGACCAGCACACAGGCCTCTCCCACTCATTTGTTAATTGCAGGCCTGGGGCTGCAGGTTTGGGAGCGGAAGTCACCTGAAGTCCAGCCCCAGTGGTCCCCACGTACGTTTTGTACGCGAAAGGAGGTAGCTCGGTGGGGTGGAAAGAGGGCGGGCCTTGCCGCTCCGGCGGCTTCTGGAACTTGCTGTGTGAATTTAGCCCCTGTGAGCCTCCTTGTCCTTCTCTGTAAAGCGGAAATAAGCTTCCCGGCTTTCCTGGAGAATCAGAGTGAAGACCAAATGGGATGAACTTCATGAACTGTAAAGCAGCTTACGAAGATGATCAGCACTGCAAAATGTGTATCAGTGATTTTGAATAGGTCGTAAAAGAATGGAAGATCTGAAGCTGCCTTGGACCGTGACTTTATGCCAGGTGTTACTCAGAGGCCTCCAACGCCAAGGCTGCCAGAGTTCCACAGACTTACCTGGGCAGGAGAATCACCTGGGCTCTTGTTAAAACCGCTGGCACCTGGATCCCTCTTCAAACCAAAAGAATCAGACTCCCCAGGGGAGGGGGTGTTTCAGGTGGCTCTGTGGTCAGGTGAACGTGGACAACTCTGCGTTAGACAACAGGAAAATACAGAGGCTGTGCTCAAAGTTTATTCTAGCAGTCATTGAAATAGTCCAGATTATTTTTCTGATCGCAAAATTCTCTGGGAAACCAGAGTATAAACTCTCTGAGGACGGGAACTATCTCCTCGTTCAGCTCCCACCATCCGCAGCCCCAACACGGTACAGGATGGTGTTAAGTAAGCAGGTGTAAATAAACTAGTCCCAAGTAGGAGTGCCAGATGTAGCAAATAAAAATACAGGATGCCCAGCTAAAATTGAATCTAGTCTCAGATGAACAATGAATACTATTTTTTAGTATCCGTGTGGCCCATGCAATATTTGGGACATACTGATGCTTTTTTTAAAAAGTATTTGTTGTTTATCTGAAATTCAGATTTAATTGGGCATCCTGTATTTGATCTGGCAACCCTCACCTGAAGGGTTTGGCAGAGTGAGGGACAGAGTAAGAACTCTCACTACTCAGGTAGTGTCAGACTCAGGGACAGGAATGAGATAACTCCTGTGTTATTTCTAAATGACACTATTGGACAATAATGTAGGTTCACTGTCATTTACATTTAACCACTTTCTGCACACACAACATATTCACTGGAAAACACAAATGAAAATAAGGGCAGATTCCATCATAGGTAAATTAGAAACATCAATTAAATAAAAATAGTCAAAATTGAAATGTAAGCAATAGACTGGGGAAAGTACTTGCAGGAACTATGATACAAGTGTTACTGTTTATTATATATAAATACAGTAAATAAGAAAACATTGGAATCCAATTGTAGATGAGCAAGACACATGAATAAACAATCCACTAAAAAAAAACTAGGATATACAATAAGGAAACAAACATACTGAAAGAAGCTCAAAGAAGTGCAAAGTAAAATAACACAATTTTTCACAAAAATAGTTGACAAAAATTAATAAATGACATTAAAGGCTGGCGAGGGTGCTGTGTGATAGCACTTATACACTTTTTAGGTAGGTAAGCGATTTGGCAATATCAAAACCCTTACAATTATGAAAACCCTTAATGTTTAAACCTTTTGATGTTGAATTTTGTTTATGGGAATAAATCCAAAGGAGATAATCCATAATGTAGAAAATGCTCTTTACAAACAAAGATTTCAATTTTAATTTATATCGTTTTAATTTATACCATAATAAGGAAAATATAGTATAATGCACCAAAATATACTACAACTGGGGGGGGGGGGAATATCCTGAAAATTCCCTAATTTTCCAAAAATAAAAAAGTGGAAATTAAACTAAAACTTATATACTCTGTCATCTATTATACTTGCAACCTCTTAAAATAATGGTTACTATTCATATGTAATATGATCATAACTAAATATATTTTTAAACTTGATTGGAAAGGAAATAAGGTTAAATTTGGGTGGTGGGACTTAATTCTTAATTTTTCCACATTTTTATTAAGCACAAATTAATTTTATAACAGAAAAATCTTAAGGTGATACCCCCCTAAAAAACAAAGGGCTTTTCTTATAATGTCAGTTTTACAAACTCTAGAATCTCACCTTTGCACAATCATGTATTAAATGCTGAAACTATCTAAACAGTAAAAGCTCCTTAAAACATTTTCCCTAAATATAAACACCTTAGCCAACTCTGCATGCTATCTGTTAACCTAGGGTCTATCTTAGCAAATTGTTCTATGTTGAATTTATCAACTTAGTCATTCACATAACCATACCGTAATTAAAGTACCTTAAATATTATTTTTAATTCAGCAAATTATATACAGCCTCGGGTTTTACATTCTAAAAGGAGACAAGCTTAATAGCATCGAGTTTTTAAAAATTTTGTAGTAAAATACACATAACAAAACATTTACCATCATAACCATTGTTAGGTGTACAGTTCAGCAGTGTCCAGTATATTCACGTTGTTGTGCCACTCCAGACTCTTTACATCTTGCAGCACTGAAACTCTGTACCCATTAAAAAGTAACTCTTCACTATGCTAGTCCCTGGCAACCACCATTCTACTTTCTGTCTCTATGAATTTGACTACTCTAGGCCACTTATATAAGTGGAATCATACAGCATTTGTCCTTTTGTGAGTGGCTTATTTCACTTAGCATAATGACCACAAGGCTTAGCCTATTGTAGCATGTGCCAGAATTTCCTTCCTTTTTTAAAGCTGAATAATATTCCTTTGTATGTACAGACAATCTTTATCGATTCACCTGTCAGTAGGCACTTGAGTAGCTTCTACCTTTTGGCTAAGCTGAATAATGCTGCTGTGAACATGGCTATATAAGTACCTCTTCCAGACTCTGCTTCCAATTCTTCTGGGTATATACCCAGAAGTGGAATTGTTGGATCAAATAGTAATTCTATTTTTTAATTTTTGGAGGAACAGCCATACTGTTTTCCATAGCCTGTTTTCCATAGCTGCACCATTTTACATTCCAAGCAACACGCACAAGGAGTCCAGTTTCTCCACGTCCTCACTTTATTTTGAAATTCATTTGTTTTTTGTTGTTGTGTTGTGTTGTGTTTATTTGTTTGTTTTGATAACAGCCATCCTAATAGGTATGAGGTGATAAATCATTGTGATTTTGATTTGTATTTCTCAAATGATTAGTGATGCTGACCATTTTTCATGTGCTTATTGACGATTTACAAGTCTTCTTTAGAGAAATGTCTATTCAAGTCCTTCGCCCATTTTTTAATCAGGTTGTCTTTTTGATGTTGAGTTGCTGTAGGAGTTCTTTATATATTCTGGATATTAACCACTTATCAGACATATGATTTCCACGTATTTTCTCCCCTTCTGTGGGTTTCCCTTTCACTCTGTTGATTGTGTCCTTTGATGCACAAAAATTTTTAATTTTGATGAAGTCCAGTATATCTATTTTTTTCCCTGCAAGCACTTTGGGTGTCATAGCCAGGAAATCATTGCCAAATCCAGTGTTATGAAACTTTTCCTCTAATATTCCCCTGCTTTTTTTCATAGTTTTATCGTTTTAGTTCTTTATAGTAGATATTTGAGTTAATTCCTGTATATTGGGTAAAGCAAGGGTCCACATTCATTCTTTTGCATGTGGATATCCAGTTTTCCCAACACCATTTGTTGAAAAGCATGGACATCTCACAAAGGCCAGGGTTTAGAGTGGAAGGAGTGGATGGTTGGATATTCAGCCCCTTTTGGAAGTGAGAGGGAAGATAACTGGAGTAAATGTCAGAATCTAGACACCAGGAGAAAAGTTGTGGGTGTTGAAGAGAAGAGGATTTTCCCTTCTCTCTTCAGTGCTTTACACATAGGCGGAAGTATCTGGCCTTCAGTGATCTGTGCCTGTCTTAGAGCACAAGTATCAGGGTTCTGGAGCTCCCTGACTTGGAGCTGAAGTGGCCAGTCCAGGGCCCAGACATAGCCAGAGCTGCCTTGCCTTGGAAGGCCTCTGTTCTGACCATTCAAGTAAAGCCAGAGAAATTCCTCCCTGGAGTTGAGAAGCGAACCATGCCTAGAGTAAACTGACCAAAATTGATGATAATTGAGGTTTAAAAGAGGAAACTAATTTGTGCCTTGGTATTCTGTTTCTTTAAAAGCAAAAATATCAAAATTAGTATGTAAATGTGGGCAATTAATGGTCAGTCACTCTTTATACCATTATTTTGATCCTAAAGTCATTAATCAGGTGCCTTCACTGGGCATGTTTTCTCTCCGGCCCTCTCAGTTAGTGGGGCCTGAAT